TTTCGACATCTCGGAAATAACATCCAACGACTCAAAACACTTGTTGCGTCAAAAGAAACAATAACATTCCTCGACAAAATGGAAGGGAGAGACATTTTCATCTGTGGAAATTCACAGAAAATCATTATTTCCGATTTTGTCGATACAACAATTTTACTTGTTAAACCACAGACTAAAATGACTGCAAATCACCACATACTCGACTTCCCAAACGGCGCAATAAAGGAAAAGATAGTTACCGCACTCATCACTAACGATTTGAAATTCATAATCATCGGGTTCAGTGATGGAGTCATTCGGCTGTATAAATACTCAGATTATTCCTTTGTGAAAGAGGCAAAAGGGATACACACAAGCACCATCAGATCTATGACACTTCACCCGATCCACAAAAATGTATTGGCTACTGTTGCCGAAGATGGACAACTTATTTTGTGGCGTATTGATACACTAACCCCTTTCCTTTATTTCACCCGAGACGATTACCACGACAAGAATTTGAGGAGTTTGGTGCTTACTGAAGTGGAATTTAGTATGGACGGTAATTATATCTGTATTTCAGACGACTTTGGCAGCTTTTCATTGTTTGGGATAGGACCAAACTTGGCAACCTCTTACCAATTCACACCACCGCAGCAATTTTTCCAATTCGATTACGGAAAGTTGGTGTATGATTCACAAGGAAATTGTATTGATGAGGAACAACATGTCGATCCAAATACAATCCGCGGACAAGTGACCGACTTTTCGTTGATGCCATATTCTTCCCTCACCCAGATCGTTAAAACCACAAACAGAAATATCCTCCAGTGCAGCGAAAATCGATACACCCCAGAGACGTACAAATACAGAAATCGACCAGAGGAATTTTCCCTTGTGAATATTAGAGATTTTGTGGCACCAGTCGAACCACAACCAGTTGCTATGATGGAAGATACTCCAGGCGAGGCCGAGGACGACGACGTCTTCTCTGAAATGGAAGATGAGGTTGAACCAATCCCACAACAAACACATCTGACAAGAAACGCAGCAAATCGAATGGGCATCACTCCTATGATTGAAGAACCACAACCAATGATCAGGCAAAGTACAATCATCAACGACGAGTCTGAGTTACTCAATTCTGGGAATACACTCGATACATCACTTTCTTCTTCTGAAGACTCTCTTTTGTCTTCTGATGATGACAGCTCCGAAGAGAATGTACAGCAACCACATCAGGATGAACACAATGATGAACACATGGAGGAGCTGACTTCTTCTGAAAACAATGAAGAAGAACTCTTGGAAGAAAATAACGAACAAATGATTGAAGAGAACTTGGAAGAGAATTTGGAGGAGAGCAATGAGTCTGGTGCAACGTCCGATTTTATGGATTTACTGAAAGGAACAATGACATCATACCCAAATTGGATCCATCGAGTCTACAGTGAGTATGACATGACGTGTGCAAAGAAACACAAGACGTATTTTCCAAATGTGGGAGACCAAGTCTACTATTTTACGGCGTATCATGCACAATACTTGGTTGAAAATCCAAATAATATAACTGGGTCCGACAACACATTGTTTGTGAATAAAATTGAAACGATTGAAGGATGCATTTCATTTGTAAGGACGTATTACGACGAGGTGTCGAATGAGTTGTATGTGTCGATTGACATCACAATGAAAAACTCACGGAGCAGCATTGACAATATTGTTTTCACTGCATCGAAAACACCATTCATCTTTTTGGTGGATGCGTTTAGATATAACGTGGAATATGTGAAAACTCAAAAAAGAGTTTACTACGAGGGTACGTCCTATCGTGTTGATATCGAAAATTCTAATTTTTACGCGATGGAGGGGGTTAAACTGGTGTCATCAAGCAGCAACGTTAATGTGAGTCTCGACGATATTGACACGGACTACAAATATCATAGAGACGTCGAAAACTTTCCTGATACTGTTAAGGATATGTTGGTCGACAAACTGAAAGAAGTGATAAAGAACCCAACGTATGAGATCTTTAGTTCTCCAGTTGATACGAGACGGTTCCCATCATACATACTTGTGTGTCCATTTCCAATAGACTTGATGACTATATTGAGACGAGTCGAGAAGGGAGAGTACTACCACACATACGCACAAGTTGAATGGGAATTCTTTAAGTTAGTGAGAAATGCAGTCAACTTCAATTTGTGTGATAGTGTCATTGGACAACAGGCTATTCAGCTTGCGGTCGAGTTCAAACAAGTCTTTATGAGGTGCAGAGAATTTGTCAGTTGGGGTTTCTTTGTGGACTTGGAGACTCAAATAAAAAGTTTTTCTATTCCACAAGAGCCACCAACAAAGAAGAAAGAAAAAAAAGAAAAGAAAGAAAAACGAGAGAGGAAAGGTGACAACGAAAGCGAAGAAACTCCACCAAAAAAGAAAAAGGGGAAACCATTAAAATATTTTGAAGACCAAATTGCTGGAAAGGGCAACGTGTTGTTGGACGAAGACGGAGAAGACGACAACCAATTGTATGTACCCGAAGATGAGATCCAACAACCTGTTATAAGTTCGTCGAAAAGAAGAAAGACGAGAAGTATGAATAACGCGCCAATGGAAGAAGTCCCACTCGAATTGACACAACCCACGTATCAAACGCAACAACCTGAAGTCGAAGAAGACGGGAACGACGTGGAAAATGTTAAATTGTTATTTGAAGCAGAGAGCGAACTGAGCGAAAACATCGAGTCGAGTGAAGACCACAGAATTGAGCAAGAAGAAAAGGACGTGAAAGATGAAAAAGAGAGCGACAATGAACTTGAGAAACGGATTGAAGACGCAGAGGAATCTTCCGAGGCGTATGTTGATATGAACAATGTGTTAGCTGATGGAGTCAAGAGGCGGAAGACGCGGAGTTCGACACGAAAAATGGAAGAGATTAAAAATGAGGAGGAGAGCAATGAGCCAATTGCAAACGTTGAGAAGATTGAAAAAATAGAAAAACTTCCTAAAGCAGAGAAAACGACCAAAAAAGACGCACACCCACAGCCAAAGAAGAAAAAAAAGAAACGTATTTGTTACTATGCACCACACAAATCGGAGAAGAAGCAGAGAAAAGAAAAAACAGAAAAAATGGAAGTTGAGGATAACTTGAATGAAAGCTTTAATGAATTACAAGACGAAGATTCTGAAAGCGAGTTGTATCCAAAAAGAAGAAAAGCTAATGTTCAAGAATTTGAAGAGGAAGACGCTAATAATCCGGTTTATATGAAGCGGACACGTCGGTCCAGAAATAATTAATTCACATGTAATCCACTTTATTTCTATAGTATCTCTCTATTATATGTTATAATAAAACTGCTATTCATGTGGTTTTAAAATAGCGTCCTACAAATCAGTTTCTATTGTAGTGCATCAAATTGAGTTAATAATAAAAAGTCCGACATATACAAAAAGAGAACTAAAGTGAATAGTAAAACAACCAAAATATATAGTAGAATGAAAAGAGAGAAAAAACTTATTTTTGCAAGAAGGTAAACTGAAAAGAGCAAAACAACAGATGTTCTCAGCAACAAAGTTAGTTCCTTCTCAGGCCAAAAAGAAATTACTTCAGCCGTCGCAAACGGTCAGATACGTCCCACCTGTGGCAAAGGCAGGGCCTAGGCGTATGCCACACCGAAGCTCACTTTCTGCTTTGATGAAGAACAACGAGAAAGATCTCAAAAAGCCCGTGCGACAAGACCAACAACAACAAAAGGACGACGGGACTTATGTCCAGTTCCTAACATTGGACATGTTTGATATAGGAAAACCACTTGGGAACGGCAAATTTGGGAACGTCTATCTTGTCAAGTACAAGAAGTACAACTATGTCTGTGCACTCAAAATAGTATTTAAGAAGCAACTTGCGAAGTGTGGAATGGGCCTACAAATGAAACGTGAGATCGAGATGCAGTCGCACTTGAACCACCCCAATATTTTGAAGCTGTTAGGGTTTTTCGAAGATAGCGAACGATGGTTTTTGGTGCTTGAGTACTGTAAGAACGGCGAGTTGTATGGCCTATTGCAGAAGGCTGGGAGATTTGAGGAGAAACGCGCGGCACGATATATCAAGTCGACAACGGAAGCGTTGAAGTGTTGTTCTGACAACTTTTGTATTCACAGAGATTTGAAGCCCGAGAACATCATGGTGGACCACAACGACCAAATCAAGTTGGCTGATTTTGGATGGTCAGTAAGGGCTAACACAAAGAGAACAACTTACTGTGGGACTTTGGATTATTTGTCGCCAGAAATTATTAATGAGAAGTATTATGATGGAGCGGTCGACAGATGGTGCCTTGGAGTACTCACCTACGAATTGTGTGTTGGAGAACCCCCATTCCAGTCTGGGTCAAAAGATGCACTTTTCAATAAGGTCAGAAGCGCGAGGTTTGAGTACCCCAAATTTTTATCCAAGGAATGCAAAGACTTCATTGGACGTTTAATTAAAGTCGAGCCGACCGAACGAATGACATACGAACAGTGCCTTTCTCACCCTTGGATTGTCAACAACGTAAAGTGATTTTTTGTTTTATTTAAGAATAGATTTTAATTGTTTCGTTGTTTTTCAATTTTTATTGTTTATTGAGTCATTGGCAAACTAGTTGAAACTTTTGACTCAAAAGTTTTGAGTCTTTTCTTTGACAAAAAGAATTGACAAAAACAAATGGCCCAAGAAGAAGGGACGCACGAAGAAGAGTGGAAGGCATACCAACTGCAACACGCACCTGAGGTAAAAAGAGAAGACGACCACAATTGGACACTCGACACGTTGAAATACATTGGGGTTTGTTTTATTGTAACGTTTCTACGACTCATATGAAGGGACTGGACATCACCTTTTCGACTAAAGAAACAAACGTCGCACTTGGGTGTTTGGTTGTTTGCGAATATCCGTCTTGCAAAGAAATATTGAAATTGACTTTGAGAAAGGTCATCAATGTGCCATACATCTCAGGGTATCTAGGGTTTCGTGAGGTTGAGGTGTACAAAGAACTCCTCGAGATGTGTAAAAAGGATCATTCGGAGTTTTATCCAGAAGTTGTCTTAGTTGATGGGAATGGTGTGTACCACCCAAGGAGATTTGGGTCGGCGACACATGTTGGGTTTGCGTGTGACATCCCATCTATTGGAGTTGCTAAAGTTTGTTGTATTCTTTCGATATACTATCGAATAATTATAACTGAAGACTAGACTGTACTTTTAGTAGATGGTGTTGGAAAGACCGAGATCAATAAGGCTGCTCTTTCTATTAACCCAGGGGATTCCATAGACGTTAATTCAAAGAAAGGAGAAGTCTTGTGTGCTGTAATTCGGTCGAGTGGAGGAGGAAAAAATCCTATCATAGTCAGTTGTGGGAATAAGGTGAGTCTGACGACAGCAGTTGCAATATGTAAGACATGTTGTCTTCACAAAATACCTGAGCCTATCAGACTTGCCGATTTGGACTCGAGGAAGATGCTGAGGGATGAAGGGCTACTTCCACATCTCTCACCAAAATAAAGCACGTTTTTTTATTATTTTTTTATTCATATAACTAGAGAAATAGTATAATAAATATTTTAATTATTTATTTATAATTGAATGAACTATATTAGTTGGCGAGTTGTTCGACCTTTTTATGTATAATTAATTAATAAATAACTTTTTAATAAATAAATATTTATTTGTTTTTTTACAATATTTTTTGTCACAAATACTCTCTTTTTTTCATCCATCTTTAATAATAATAAACTGACAGAAATAGAATCAAAAAGTTATAAATAAATCCGATGAGTTCTACTTTTTTCGACTAATTTTGTTCAATAAAAACAAAGTTTATATCAAAATAATTATTAAGACGAATGATTAATTTAACTTTACGTAAGATAATAATTGGATATAGTATCTTGTAAACTGTTATTAAAATAATTCTCGAAGGTATTATGATTACTCGACTGGATAATAACTCAAAACTTCATTATTGCTGTTGGAAATACCATTTAAAACTGGAGAAATGGAACGAAAAGAATAGTGAAACGAAAAAAATAATAAGACTGGGGAACGAAGACAAAAGAAAAAAAGTTGTTCTAAAACAAGACAAACCCCCCAAAGAGGGTTATTTATACAGAATAATCTGGAACTCTTCAACATAATAATGACTCGGTTAGAGGAGTGTTTTTTAGCGAATGTGGTTTTGTACATGGACAGCACACTGACCGCTCACGTTTTTTCTACCATCAACAAGAAGTGTTTGGACGCTATTAAAATACTGAAGATAAACCCATCATATCCCGTAAACACAAACACAAAGCAACAAGACACCTTTATACAGAAAGAGTGCAACTTCGATTTACAACAATCGTTCATGCGAGAAATCAGACTTTTTAGTAACATCGAGACCATTTCTTTCTCAACACAAACACTCCAATTCTTGCCTCTTGTTCCTGATACTATCAAGTGCTTTCATCTCCCTCTTGTGTCAAAGTGCCAAGTTCAAAAAGTATTGGAACAGAAGGAAAAGATCGTCGCCGTGTCATTTAAGGCAATGAAAACGCCTATCGACTTTTCGACATTTAACCGACTCAGTCGTATCACTTTCATTATCACGTCGCCACAAAAGGTCTCCGACTTTTTGACGTCATACAACCAACGATTTGACTTTGTCTATATTCGGATGGAAGGGTTCATCGACTGGGAATTTTTAGAGCACCACTCGCGTTATAACATCGAGAAGACCGTCCTTGAATTTGACAAGAAGTCTCTTTTAGAGGAGGTATTAAGAGATAAACGGTTGTTACTCGACGTGACCATTTGTTATCGGAAGTGCTACAAAGGGATGGATCCAACTGTGATTGTCCACACCAAAGATGAGTTGAATGAATATTTCAACATATCAAAAAAGGGATTTAACGAACAATTAGTTGAAAGGTATTACCCCTCGAACGTCAAAATCACTGGGTTTTGTCGGGAACATCGAATACTCGATTTTACCAACTTGAGATCTGTCAGTTCCATTAAATCACTTGGGTCATCACTTGAAATCAGGCCACCAGCGTTGTTGACAGCACTCGACTCAAAACTGAATGTCTCCGACGTACCACTGAAAGAACTCCATTTACAAGGAAGGAATACACAGGAAAATGTGTTTCCAGACACCCTCACTGCTCTTACCATTTGCGATTTTAAAGAAGTCAAAAACTATACACAACTGATCAGACTTTGCGTGTGTGGTAACAAAACATTTCCTGCAGATGAGTGCTACAACTTGACTTTTCTGAGCCTTTCGTGCCCTTCACCACCACCCCTTAATAAACTCGAAAAGCTCAAAGTGTTGTGTTTTGACAGAAAATTGGTGGATGTTGATATCAATACCATGTACCCAACATCGTTGGAGTCATTGCAGTGCTATAGTGGAGACATCCCAAAGGAACTTGGCGTCACAAAACTGTTTTTAAACGACTCGTTGAAGAACAATGAAATCGAGAAGTACTCAAAACTTAAAAAATTGAGGTTTTTAGGAACAAATGGCGATAATAAGAAATTGCCAAGTAACTTGACTTCGCTCACTATTTCATGCTTTGGCGCATCTACACAGAAAATGTCACTGAAGTACATTGAATGTGCGCATGTGAAAGAGTTGCATATCGAAAATTGCCTTGTCCACTCGATTGAGTTGCCAAACCAATTGGATACCCTCTATCTGCACTATTGCAGTTTTGCTATTTCAGGGGAGGTTTGCGTCAAAAAATTGGCGTTGAACGAGAGCATCATTTCGAATATCGAGATGATATCGAAAAGAACCCTCAAGAACATCTACTCAAGGAAGTCAAAAATCAGCGAGTTTGTCCAAGTTGAATTGTACGACAAATTTCCATTGATCGAGCTTGATAAGAAGGTGCACCCGAAGGTCCACAAGGTGTCTGCTTAAAGCAAGCAAACAAAATGTCCCAATTTCTATTTTTAATTATATTTTTACTATTAGAAAGTCACTTAGTTTTTTACCACAATACCCATTTTTTATACCTAAGGTATAAAGGCTTTGTCTATTCATTTTTTTACCATTGAAAAAAATGAAACTATAAAAATAAGAGGATGACTGAAGAACAACAATGCAACCAATTCAAAAAGTATGAGGAATACTTCGAGAAACAAAACGACAAACTGAAGAAGTACGACGTCGGGTGCTTTGGCGAATGGCTCCACGGAGATAAAAAAGTCATCGACCAACCGCCAGAACATCAGACGGTACGGCGGTGTATCGACTTCAACTGTGATCACTCGGAACTGGAGTCGCTTCACTCACAATACTACAAAACATCACGCGTGCCGTACGTCCACGCAAACTACTCATATACAAGATACTTACAACCACCGCTCTTTTCATGCTCAAATCCCGGAGTGATGGTGACGTCGAAATTCGTTCACACGTCAATCAACAAGAACAAGTGCCCTGTGTTTTGCATGAGGTGGACACCTGACGGGAGGAGGCTGATAACTGGCAGCAACAACGGAGAGTTCACCACATGGAACGGCCTTCAGTTCAACTTCATTGGGATCAACACGTAACACAATTCGGCAGTGAGAT